ACATGGATGTTACCTTTCAAGAATCTGAGGAAAACTTGATCTTATAGTCATCTCCTCCTAATGATAGGAGATGACAAAGAGGAGATGACTCGATTGAAGAAGTTGTTAGCACAAGAATTTGAAATCAAAGATCTAGGGAAGTTGCAGTACTACTTGTGAATTGAGGTTGCTAGATCAAAAAGAGGAATCTTTATTTCTCAAAGAAAATATAATTTGGATCTTTTGAAAGAAACTAGTATGCCAGGTTGCAAACCGACAGAATCGCCCATTGAAAGTAATCACAAGTTACAAGCGGAACTGGAAAGTCAGTTGATAAGGAAAAATATCAAAGATTGGTTGGAAGACGCATTTATCTCTCTCACACTAGACCAGACATAGAGGGTGTTTGGATTGGCTTTTAAAAAGTAGCTTATAAGCTAAAAGTCAAAAGTCATAAGTTGGTAATACCCAACTTTTGGCTTTTGGCTTATTTTTGTACTTTTCATGCCTAAAAGTAAGTACTTTTAAGCAGTTTTTTATCATTGTCAATCACCACAAAAAAAAACAATAAGCACTTAAATAAGCCAATCCAAACACCCTCATAGCCTATTCAATCAGCTTGGTGAGTCAGTTCATACATGATCCCCGAGCTACTCATATGCAAGCTATCTTTCACATTTTGCAGTATTTGAATCTGCTCCCGGAAAAGGTTTATTGTTCTCCAAACATGGTCACCTCCAGATATAGAAGTCTTTACAGATGCGGAATGGGCTGGATCTCTAGATGACAGAAGATCCACATCCGGTTATTGTACACTCGTAGGAGGAAACTTAGTTACTTGGAGAAGCAAGAAGCAAAGTGTAGTTGCTAGATCAAGTGCAGAGGTCTGTGAACTTTTGTGGTTACAAAAGCTACTAGAGGAATTGAGATTGTCTGAAATAAGGAAACTTTCCTTGTATTGTGATATCAAGGCTGCCATTAGTATAGCTCATAATCCAGTCCAGCATGACCGACAAAGCATGTTGAAGTTGATCGACACATCATCAAAGAAAAAGTTACAAGTGGTGACTTGAGTTTGTTCCATGTGTCATCTGAAAAGCAGCTAGCTGATGTGTTTACCAAAGGTCTCAACAAACGGACTTTCCATCCACTAGTTTGCAAGTTGGTCATGTGTGACATATTTGCACCAACTTGAGGGGGAGTGTTGACCAGCTTAAGGAGAAGAATCAGAGAATCAAATCTTTAATTAATAGCTTGATTGTAGGAAGATTGTACTGTAACTGAATATTCTCTCATTATTTTCATTTATTTTCTTTCCTAGAATAGATGTAGGACTTTTGTATAAAAACATGTATCAATAGGAGGTAAAACATACATTGAAATATAAAGAAGTCTTCTCTTCTTCTCAATTTCATCACACATACACACACACACATATATATATATATATGTATGTATATGTATATATATATATATAATTTAACTTATTTTTAGTACTACTCTTATTTTATTTTGGCATAATGATGATAGAAGCTGAGCTTAAAGAAAGAAGTGAGGATTCATATCGCCGACCCCAATTTTGTTTGGGACTGAGGCGTAGTTGTTGTAGTTGTTGTTGTTGACTAATTTGCCTATAGAACCTATTTGTTTCAACTGTGTAGTTAAGTGGTGATGAAGTGTTTTTGTAGAGGAGTTTACCATACTAGTTGCAAATGGTATGAGGTCTTTTGTTACATGTACGTCATATATGACCATTGATGGTTGTACGTGTGTCTACTTGTAAATCAAAAGTCTTGTGACTCTCTAGATTATTATAATACATTGATGATTGCCGAGGGCCATTCTCAGGCATTACAGTGAGATGTTTGTCCTTTGACTATCTCTTTCTCTCTCGTGGTTGGTATATTCAGTTTGATGTCAAAAAACTTTTCTCAATTGCTTTTGCCATGAGTTATTGTCTGATTGGTTTCATAATTCTTTTGGTAATCATTATCTCTCTTTTTGTTATTATATATAAGAAGTTGGTTTTATCGACTCTCATCGGGGATTACTCTTCTGGTCCGGAGTTTTCTACCAAGAATTTGGATGCTCTCACTTATTTTCCGGGTGTCTGCATCACTCGCTTGGCCAATTGCTTGCATCTTTCTCAAAGAAGTATGCTAGCAATCTTGATCGTGTAGATTAAAGTAGTCGACTCATCAATCTCAAGTGAATAGTAGTATAGTACAGAGGTGAAAAAGATTGTCGATCCCAAAAAGACTAATATATGGTCGACAACACGTGATTCTTATTCTTGTGGCTTGAGAAGTCAAATGTTGAGATTCAATTAATTCCTTCTAATATTAAACCCTTCTCAAAAAATTAATTCCTTCTAATATCTAACAAAACAAATGGTCAAAAGATACATGAAATACATGAGAAATAAGTTTCAAAAGAAATACCAAAGTTGCTAATAGTTAGGATTTAACTTTACCTACATGCTTGTTACAGTTTTTTGTTAACACAAGTTTTAAACAATACCATTCTGAAGTATAAAATTGTCATTTTCAGGTGAGACTGCCTCTTTCTAAAGTCCTTTACCTTGATGTTGCTCCCGGGTAGACTCTTGGTTAATTTCACACAGGACGCATGACGGCTGTGGAACTAATTTTCAAGAATTGGTAAAATCCCTTACTTTCTAATCATCTTTTAACGTAGAAGTGACCACCTCTGAGATACCTAACCATGATTATTCTCAAGAGTAGACTCTCATTTAGTTACTCTGAGATGCTTTAAGGTTTAAGAAGTTCTCCTATTTTTAGCACACAAATCTTCATATTGTTCCTATCGGGTAGCTTAATCAAAATTATTGCATACTTTAACAATAATAACTTGAGTATTCTTGAATGAACCTAACTCCTCTAATTTGATCTCATGTTAGATTTTATTCACTCAAGTATAATTAAACATAACCTGGTTAAATTTTGTGCAATTTCATAATACATGGATGAAGACACCAAGTATGATAATGTAGCCATTCAACGAAGCAAATATGAAACTCACATCTCAAAGTACAAATTTTACATATTTATAACCGAGAAATTTCCTGTGAGTTAGCCGGCAACCCCAGTTGACCCACAAGTTGAAACTCCAGAAGGTATGGCCCTGTCGCTCTTCTCTACCTTGCTTAATTATCAGGCTTCTTGTGATCGGCAAGATTTGAGCTAGTGACATGTGTCCCACCTCAGATACTCAGTTGTGCATCCTTACTACTGAACCAAACCTAGAAGCAATCAAATCTCAAGTACGATTGAACAAGCATGGGCTCAATTTCACTCCAACTACATAATTTACTCCATAACACAAGTGAAGAAAACCAAGGAAAACTACTTTCTTCATGACAAATCAATTAATCAATCAACTACACCTCATCCCAACCTAGAAAGGTATTTCAGACTTTCATGTCAACACAAACTTAAAAAGAATAAGAGAAAGAAGAACTTGCATTGAAGATGGGTGGCTAATCGAGTTCATCTTCTATCTTTTCTTTTTTATCCCTTCATGTTGAACTATCCCCTCTCCTTCTAAAAATTTACAATCCAAAACCATTTTTGAATTGGAGAGAGTTCATGATTTCAAAAGTCGGTGCAGCAGCGCTCATACACACTAGCAACTTTAGAATTACTATCTGACACTGCAATGTCCGCACAGAAGACGAAGAATACACTTTGGACTAATGCCATGGTGCATAAATATGATGACATGGCACTACACTTGTGTTTCACGATGTTCATCTTCTTTGCTTCATTGTTGCATTGGTCATAGCACTGCGATGTGGGTGTTCATGTTTCAAATATTTTCATATATATATTCAACTCCTTATGAAGGCTCTAATTGTTCCTTCGCTTGCCAAAGATCATAAAATCAACTACAAACAGCTTGAATATATCATGGACTTAACTAATCTCACAGTAAAACCTTCAAATAATCATTGGTATGCTCTAGTCCAAGTCAATGTTCTTTCCATTTTGTTCACCATTAAGGATGTTAATTCGGACGATCGCAATTTATACTGTAGTATGGTGGGTGCCTTACAATATTTCCATGCTTTGCCAGCCATTACTGTTGCAGTGAATACAACTAGTCAACACGTGCACACTCCTAATTCTTCTCATTTTATTGGTACAAAAGAATATCTTGCTTTATATTGCAAGAAATCTTAACTTTGGGCTAGATTTGAAGTTGTAGTTTTTCCTCACTGCTTATTTAGACGCTACTTCGTATGGCTTTCCTGATACTTGTAGGTCTATAACTGGAGTGGCTCTCTTTGATAAGAATCTTATTTCTTCCTCTTCTAAGGAGCAAAATACTGTGTCTCGCACCACACCAAGGGGAAAGTTGCTTCTTTGCTTGTATACAGTCCTCTTCGGCCCACTTCTTGTCTTTTGTGATAATGTAAGAACATGTATCTTATATAGAAACTTATATATCAATTATATAGAAAGCATCTTGTAGTTGAATTTACAAAACATGTGGCTTAGGGGTCTATTCTTGTCCATTATTTTCTGACGGAGTGTCAATTTGCTGATATTCTCACCAAGTACCATTCATGTCATGCTTTAGGACTCTTCCAAAGGGTATTCACTTGTGACCAGGCATATGCTATGTATATGTTTATTTATAATATTAGTGTAATATGACCTGTGGCTACGCCTATAAGTAAAGATGCTCTTGTAATATGCATTTGTAATTCACCGGGGATACTCTTGTCACTTAAACTTGTATTGCTCTTTTCAAGCTAAAAATTCTCAACTACAGTATGATTAAGGGGTTAAGGGACGTAGTACAAAAACTTTGACGTTTCCAACTTATGACCAACTGTTGGTTGCGTTGGAAAATTTGCGATAAAGGTAAAGTACATGAGGCAGCTGAACTTTAGCTTTCATTGAGGTTGGATTTGTGTTGTAGAACAATTACAAAACATATTCTTTCAAAATCACATCCTGTTTCCCGAGAACCTAAAGGAAACCAAACCAATCTCAAAATCATACCGTTTTCTAATCCAAATGCCAAAGAAACCAAAACACATAGACCACATAAGCAATGTTAAGAAGCAAAGGAAAGGCAAAGACAAGCCAAGCAGAAAAGAAAAAATGGAAGTATGATAAGGGAAAGGTATAATTTTGATAAAGAAGATAGAGAAAGGAGCGTACCCCTTTCTGTTTGCAGTAATCAATATCCGTCCAGCAATCCTCATTTTTCACACGATCAGCCGGCCAATTAGGACTTGGAATGATGGCCGATACAGATGTGGTCACCACCACACGTTTAACCCCCAGCTCCTTTGACGCTGTAAGTACATTCATAGTGCCTTTGATTGCTGGCGACAGAAGCTGATTCTGTAACACCACACAACCCCAAGTAGAGAAGAGAGTAGCAAATTAGTACCAAAACTCATTTAAATCAATATCAAGAACAAGTAAATGAACAGTAACAGTAGACAATACATACAGGGGTACTAATTAATTTGTTTCAATCTGTCTAAGCCTATGGTGGCAGAATTACACAGGTTAACATTGAAAAAAATTAAAGGGATTGAAGACCTTACCTCGGGATCTTTAACTTGATCGACAATGCAGGGGGAAGCAAGGTGGAAAACGCCAACAGCACCAGTAATGGCGGGGACAATTGAGTCGTAATTAATTAGATCAATTTGGAAAAGAAGGAGACGGGATTCAGCCCCTTCTAAGGCAAGTAAATGCTTCGTCTCTTTCTCATCATCTAAAAGATAAGTCGAGAAATTAGGAATTACTTGAACCAGAAAAAAAGGAAGAGAAGGGGTGAGAGTTGACTGACTGAGATCTTTGATGGTGGCGTGAACAGTGTAGCCACGCTCGAGAAGGAAACGGACCAGCCATGAACCAATATAGCCGCTGCCTCCAGTAACACACACTACTTCACCTGCTCTGTTTGCCATTTCATTAATTCACAATTTGTAATGCGAAATAAGCATGCGGCTCTATGTATCCAATGAGAAGACATTCATTTTGAGTTTTGTGCCTAAGTATGGCTAGAACTTGGACACCTGGCAATAGACGTAGTGCATTGTTTGGATTTAGGGAAGGGAAAGTGAGATGATGAAATTTTACTTTACTTTTTCGTATATAAAAGAATTAAAAGTAATAGAAAACAAAATTGAGAAAATAAGGGAAAAGAAATCTTATTGATTATTGCAGCTTTCTTCCAACCGAAAAGAATTACTATTTGTACTCGCGCGAACACAAATATCAAATTATGCTTTGGGTTATTTGAATTATATGCAAATTATCTTAAAATTTAAATCTTCCAGATAAAATTTACATATAATCATTAGATATCAATTAAGAAGTATGACATGAAATTGTTTTTCATATCTCGTAGTGGATAACATATTTTCTTTTTCTATATCTGTAATAATTTAACCCCCTGATTCTAGTACTTGCAATTTATTCTCTTGTCAATATTAAAGAATACTAAACATATCACGCTGTAATATGATTTGTTTGAGTACATTAGATCGTATTGTTTTAACAAATTTCTTACTACCACTTTATGTTTTATCTCAAATTTGAGTAAGTCTTATCCTTCTACATTTTGTCACGATCCAACTCCCACTGAGTCGCGACAGTGCCTAACACTACTTGCTAGGCAAGCCAACAATTTTACAATGACAGCGAATTCAATAAAACTTAATTTAATAAACTCAACAGCGAAATGTCATGAAATAACTAAGTAAACAACGATAATACTACTACGACCATACCAAAGATCTGGTGACAACGAGTACTTGAGCATTACTGAATATCAAAATACAATGTCAAATCCTCATATACAATTGCCTGAACAATAGAACAATAAAAACGGAAATAAATGAAAGAGAACTTCAAGGTCTGCGGACGACATAACAGCTACCTCGTAGTCTCTCAAAATGCTAACACCAACACAGCTCTAGTAATCACCACGTTCGAAAGTATGTAGATCTGCACATGAAGTGCAGAGTATAGTATGAGTACAATCGACCCCATGTAATCAATAAGTAATAAACATACCTTAGGCTGAAAGCAGTAACGAGCTCAAAAGAAAAAATTAGTAAACAATACCAATAGCCAGTAACAACTTAGGAGATAAAGGAAACAATATAAGTAAATAACTCAATGATATCATATTTAGCTCGTTCACATTACAGGAATTTAGACATGCTTTTCAAGTATAACAGTTAAATCCCAACATTGATAAAACATTATATTTATCAGCTAGCATGAGAAAAGTATATCTATATGCCTATATGTCAAATATACATGTCAATTCAATATCATCACAGTGAAATAATCAAGTACACTAACTCTCAGCACGCTCAAGGTGCCTGGCTCAAATTTCCCTCACCATCACATACACAATCACTCAACAATGTACGAGTGCCTAACAAAAATGCCCCTCACCAAAGCTATAACGATCCGACCGATCGTTTTGAGGATTTGCATTCAACTCGGCAGTTTGAGGTCATGAGTAGTTTCATATGGTATATTATGACTTGTGTGTATCGTCGGTTTTACTTTTTGAGTGGTTCATGATTGATTTGGAAGGATGATTCTCATTTGAGAAGCTTGAAGTTGGAAGAGTTGACCAAGTTTGACTTTTGACGTATTTGACCTTGCATCATAGTTTTTATGGTTCTGGCAGGTCTGGCTGATGATTTTGGGCTTGGGTGTATGTTCGAATTTGCATTTGGATGTTCCTAGAAGGTTTTGGCTCTAATTGGCAAAGATTGTCAATTTAAAAGTTTGGAAAGTTCATAAGTTTGACCGAGAGTTAACTCTCATAATAACGGGCCCGGATTGTTGTTTCGGGAGTTAAACTAGGTTCGTTATGTTATTTGAACTTGTGTGCAAAATTTGAGGTCATTCCGAGTTGATTTGATAAGGTTCGGCATGAGTTTTGGAAGTCGAAAGTTCAAACGTTCATTAAGTTTAATTTGAGGTATAATTCATGATTTTGATGTTGTTATGTGTGATTTGAGGCCTCGAGTAGGTCGGTGTTATATTTTGGGACTTGTTGATATGTTCGGACGGGGTCCCGAGGGACTCGGGTGAGTTTCGAACGGGTTTCGGACCATTTTAGGCCATGTTAGTTCTGCTGATTTCTGCTGGTTTCTGGTGCTTCTTTTCTTCTTCGAGTTCGCATCCCTATATTCGTGTTCGTGAAGTGTTAATGGTGATCTTCACCGTGTTCGCGTCCCTTCCTTCGCATTCGTGTAGTGTGAGCTGGGCTAGGCAGTTGATGATGGATTTCTCTTCGCGTTCGCGCTGGTGTCTCTGTGTTCGCGATGGTCTGGTAGTCGTGTTCTTCGTATTCACGAGGTCTATTCCGCAAATGCGTAGTGTTAATTGGGGCAATGTAGTTTGTGCATTGTGAACACGATGTTTCTTCCGCGTTCGTGAAGGGTACCCGTGTTCAGTGATTTTAAAATACTTTATTTCGAAGGTTTTGGTCATTTTATCAAATTTTGAATTATGAAGCTCGGATTTGGGCGATTTTGGAGAGGAATTTCACCAAATGGATTGGGGTAAGTATTTTATACTCTGATTTGATTATATTTCATTATTCTATCTTCAATTTTGGCATTTGATTGATGAATCTATTGGTTTTTGAACATCGATTCAGAGTCGGACTTGAGTAAAATTAGTATGGTTGGACTCGTAATTGAATAGATTTTCGGAATTTGTGAGTTTTGGAGGGTTCCGGGGTGCGAATTCGGGGTTGACCTTTTAGTTGACTTTGAGTATTTGATTAAAGATTCGACCTTTATTGTTTGGGTTTGCTTCCTATGGCATTATTTGATGATTTTGAGTTGCTTTTGGCTAGTTTCGAGCCGTTCGGAGGTCGATTTGTGCGGGATGACGCTTCCAGTGTATCGATTTGGCTTATTTGAGGTAAGTGTCTTGCCTAACTTTGTTGAGAAAATTTTTCTTACTAAATAATATTGTTTGCTACATGGGGGCGGGGGGCGATGCATATACGAGGTGATGAGCGTATATACATATGCCAGGGTTTTTCATGCTCGGGAGGGAGAATTTTATGCTTTCTTTGATAAACTTGGTAATTCTTTGACTTATGCTTTATTTAATTCTATGACTAATAAACTTAATTAACTGTGCTAGAAATCATGTTAGAACATATGACATCTTAAAAAGGATGTAATGTGTTAATTTCAGAATGCTTTCATACTTAATTGATCATAGTATGATGAACACTCATTTATACATGTTATGGTCTTCCTACCTGAGTTTCTTTATCCGTTATATGTGTGAGGATTGGGGCCTTAGGGTTATGTTTGGCACGGGGGTTATTTCTGTGCGGTTGATATGTGTTTACCCTCAAAATCGGATAACAATTAAATTTATTAGTGGTTTAAAGGATATGCAGATTAATTTGATACCGAACGATAAATTTGATAGCAATTGAAATAAATAATGATAAATTAACCGCAGACCACACGAATTGGATAATTTCAGCCTAGGAAAGCTAGTCACCCTCGAGCTGAATGTACTCTAATCGACACCAAGACACCAAAGAATAAGAACTTAAAGAATAGCGGTAATATATTGCTTATGAGTGTATGTTACAATGCCCCTCATGAATTGTTAGGCCCCCTTTATATATAAGAGGAGTTCTACTTTTAGGGTATTATTCTATTGTTCTATAAAAGGTAAAAAGTCATTGATTTGCTGACTGTAGGTCCCCCTTTTTTGGTATGTTCCGTAATTTCCGCCGTAATGTCTGGTTAATTGCGGGAATTTCGAACTCTTGTCGGATAAGTTAACAATATTTTCCTTGAGATCGTTATAACCGGGACCGGTTATGACCTCGGTAAACTCGAAGGCCAGTCTGGTGGTTCCGGTGGCTAATTCGGCAAGGCATAAGTCGATCTCTGGGATTTTATCATCATTTCTCGATCCCGGCCTATTGTGTTGGATGCTCAGTCAAATTCCGAGTTCGATTTTACCCGTATACAGATAGTCTCCTCATTTTTTCGGAGAGTAAAATGACGAGAAACGATATGAGCTCTTCATTCTCACTTCGATAAATCATGACATAAGCGACAAAAATCATGACGTAAGCGACAAGAATAGTTGAAACGTCCCGTCGGTCCAGTTTTTAAGGTATTAAATGCTTGTTAGTTGCTGGTCGGCCATTCCCAGATGCGAACCGTCGTTTGGAAAACTAAAAATACCCCCTCATCTCTTTGTGAACAACTAATTTTTTATAACACCCAAATTCAATACTATTTTAGTGTAAATATATCTTTTAGGTCTAATCTAAATATTTTAAAATTTTATCTTACTCTTAATAGATTTTATTTGAAAAAAAAAATTTAAAAAAAATAATTATTACAACAAAAAAATATATTCACATACTTATAGAATATATTTCATTTCTATTTGTAAAGAGAAAAAGAAAATTTTACAAAAAAATATTTAGTTTCTTTAATTAGTATTTTAATAAGTAAGCTATGGTATTTTTAGTATTATTTAAATTATATGTAAATATTTTGTTTAGTTTATTTATATTTTTTCTTTGTCTAAAAGAAGTGGGTTAACATTTTTATTTATGTATTTTACCTTACCTTTTTTCAAATAAATAAATAAATAAAAGTAATAAGATAATATTAAAATAAAAATTTGTGCTAAACTATCAACCATTATCCCCTAACAACTCCCTTTCCATCACGTCACTTTATACAAACGACTCTCTCACAATTTACTTCTACTCCCTCACGTCATATGCACACACATAGTACACGATCTTCATAATTCCCCATTCAATTATCCATCACATAGTTAAAAACACATTAATGTATAAATAAAAGGACTACTGACGGACACAGAGGGAGGAGGAGAACGAGAAAAAGGAAAAGAGGGAATTGGGTAAGAAAGAAAGAAAGAGAGGTGAGAAAATGTTTAAGAGAAAGTTTGCTAATTTGAGTCTTTCATCAGTC